TCCCCGCCCCTGTCCCTGCTTGGCTAGGACTGCCTAGTCATTTCCAATTCCTTCTCGTATTGATCTTCCTGTAGAAATCAGTTTTGTAATTAGCTGCAAATTAGGCCTTCTACTGGGGGTGAGCCTGCCCCCTGATTTATCACCAGAGTAATTCGCTGTGATCGGAGAGAAATTAAAATGAACTCAATTAGGCTTCGGATTTGCTTTATGGGCCCTGCTCAGAGTTTCAGGGGGAAAAATGACTGTGCTGGTGCTTAATAGTCTAATGAAAGTAAATAAAGGTTATTCATTGTAATAAACCCAGGGACTCTGGGATGAAGGGAGTCCACAGCCAGCCTCTCCTTCTCTTCCTTTGTTTGGGGCGGTTTAAAAAGACTTTTGATTTTCATTTTATTAAGACAAACAGCTTTTGGGATAAAAGGCCGGGGGAGCGAGGGAGTAAGGGAAAGGAGGGGCAGAGCTGCAGAAGTGCAGAAAACTAGGTTGGAGGTGGGAGTCAAGTCTCAGCTTTGGGCCATGAAGGAAAATGCTCCGTTAAAGCCCAACCCTGTAGCTTGCTGGTCACTAGCGTGATCTGAGAGCGCAGGAGTTTCTGTGCAGTGCTGTATGCTGGTGAACATGCATGGCAGTGTTTGTGTGTTCATGGCAAGCACATGCCTGCATACCTGCAGGTATGTGTGCAGAGGGAAAGGCGGGTACGGGGGTTTAGGGAGAGCACAGTGTGCCTGTATATGGCAAGTTCACGAGAGGAGGTAGAGCTTGTGTATACACGTGCATCAGCACAGTGGTATATTTACAACTAGAAAGTGCTGTGAAATGTAAATGTGATGTATGTGCAATAAAACATCAGTGTGAGAACAAGGAGTGAAGAGGAGGAGAGTGATTTTGGTGAGGGAATCTCCCTGCCATCATCCTATGGGTGCCTGTGGGTCCCCATTACCAGGCCAGGCCCTCACCTGCTCGGATTTGATGTGCTCTGATGTTTGAAAGACGTCAGGGTAAGAAGGACGCTCAAAAACTCGATCTAAAGCTTCCAGCTGCTGCTGGGTGAAAGTGTCGCCACGAAGGTGCTTCCGCAAACTGTCCACGCTGCTCTGGGAATCTCCGTTGGGAACTGAGCCCTCGGATACATCTGCAGGGCACAGACAGAGAAAACAGGGAGTTAGCACCACCCTGGCTCAGATCAGCAAGGGATGCAGGACAAGGACAAAGTGGGAAAGAGTGGGTCCCTCTGCCTCCACCTAGGGAGCTGTGCCACTCCTGTGGGAAAGGGAGGCTGTGGGGACCCGAGGGAAGCCCCCTCTTGTCTGCTGGAGCAGCAGAGCTGCCCACAGGCTCCATGCGACTCTTCTGCCCAGGGTGAGTGAGGCTGTGGAGAATGGTGCTCAGCTCAGAGATGAGTTTCGGTTCCACTGATTTTCAGTGTTAAAAATTGCCAAATCTCCATTGCTGAGCATAAAATGGGAGCAAAGCACAGCGATTAGCATCGCTAGAAGGCTACTGGAGACGCAGCTCACAGAGAAACCAGAGTGCTGAGGATGGACCTGTACTGGAGGGGGCTGAGGAAGCCTGGAATGGAGAAGGGGCTCTCAGAGCTTGGAAGAGAGTCAGTCTCTGTTCTAGCTCCCTGGTCCCAATAGAAGTTACATCTATGTTATAATTTCCTTATTATCTGATCTTGTCCTTGTTGTACCCCGTATGAGTCTTTTATCCCCCTCAGATAACAGGAATGATCCTGTTTCTGACTCTTATGTTTCACCAGAAACAAGTCTCTCCCTGTGTAATGCTTGTCCCATCCAACATATGTTGGTTTCTGTTATGAACTCTCTCCCATTCTCCTACATGTAGCTCGTGATTTTTCACAATCCATATCTCTGTTATAAAACTCCTTCCAAAATGAGATGAATCTTTGTCTGTGTTGGTCTCCCTTCCTATCCAAAATGAATTACTGTATTACAAAACCTGGTCCTACTCAGTGGGAATCAGCCTTCCTGATATTCCTTCGTTCTTACTAGGAAAAAGCCTTTTTCTGGTAGAAGCATTGCCAGAAGTGCATCTCTGTCCCTGCAACAGCCCTCTGACACAGTCCAATCTCACTGCAGTGCCTCCTGCCACGTTCCAGGTGTCTCTGTCTCTGTTGTGCCATCCCACGTCTCACAGCCCACTCACCCCCTCCGAGGTGAGTCCATTATAAATGCCCTGCCCCATCCAAAGTGAATCTTTCCCTGAGATAAACCATCTTATCACCCACCTGTTGTTTTGGGTTTTTTTTTTCCCCTGTTATCCCCCAGCTCAAATGAGGTGCATTTATCTCGGTTATAATGCCTTTTTATCTGAAATGAGTGAGTCTCCTGCTATTAGCATCTGTCACATCCAAGGTGAGTCTGTCTGTTATAACCTCCTGTCCCAGCTGAAGTGAATCTTCCTTTGTCATAATCCCTCATCTCATCTGAGGCAAGTCTGCTCATTATAATCTTCTCCAACTGTGCTGAGTATCTTTCTGCTGTCACCTCTCAGCCTAACTTTGGTGAGACCGGTTATAATCCCCTGTCTCATCCATGCTGATATACCTCCATACCCTCCATGCTGAATCTCTACCTACTGTGCTTCATCAGACACAAGTCTGACTGTCTCATCACCCTGTCTAACCTAAAATCCGTTTTTCCCTCTTATGCTGCGATTACCTTCCTGCTTTTTCACTATTATTCCTCATGCTTCAGCCTTTCTCGGTGGCTTCTAGTGTGTGAATCTCAGAAACTTGCTGCCTGTCAAGAAAGCGTTTGAGGGATCTGTATAGACCTTTTCGCTCCTCCATGTGATTGCGAGTGTACTCGTGGGCAGACGATGCTCCCAGAAGCCTGGAGTGGCATTCACTGTGCAACAGCCAGAACCATGCCACTCCACCGCTTCATCTTTTAGCTTGTGGGTGGTGCCAACATGGGTATTTTCCTGGCACGGTTAATGCCCAACTGGTGGCCCAGAGTTATAACTGTGCCTGCTGCCTTCTGGCTATGAGATATATCCGTTTATAGGTGATTATATGATATGATATAATCAATAGTACATTATATACAGTAACGTAGTACAGTACCACTTGCAAGACCATAGAAAATATTACATATTGATTTGTCCCAGCCAGCAGCCTTCCCTCGAGCAGCCCCTTCTCTTTTTCTTTTCCACCCCTAGCCAGAGCAGGGCTGTTTACTGGCACTGATCCCTGGCATTTTCTCCTCTCCTTGGGCTTTTTTGCATAAGAGAAAATTCTCAAGTTCCTGAAAGCTGGAGTTCATGACAGATTTGATGAAGAGAAAACAAAGCAAAGACGAGGCTTGGTGGACTGCACACTGTGTGTGTGTCAGTGCAGTGTTTTAGATGGACTGGGCTGTTACTGGAGGGGGTGATTTCAGAAGAACTAGGGTAGCTCAAGGGTCATGCTCCCAGTTCCAGTAGGCACTTCTCGCTGGTCCTCCCTGCAGAAAGCTGGCACGGAACTCCCGGGTCCAGGCTCAGAAAAAATAATTAAATGTGTGTTTCTGTGTCAGTGCTTGTTTCAACCTGTCTGCAGCCTGTGAAGCTGTTTGCCTTTGAGGATTTTTCCACATGTGTCAGTCAGTGTGCATGACCGTGCACACCATGATGCTAATACACATGGGTATTTTTGCAGTAGATCATTATTCTGATATTCTTTAGATTCTGCATCACCGTACATGCCTGAGCAGCCGTTTGTCTGTGGTGACTGGTTTAGGCTATATTTGATGACTGGTGTTTGGGTATACGGTAAAACTTCCACTGATTGCCATTAAACCAGATATTGCCCTTAGCGAGTTGCCCTGGGTGGTTACACAGATTAGTGCACACACGCACCTGTATTTGCAATTCCTGTCTACTCGCAGAGCTCTGTGCACGCGCGTCTCCCGTGTGTGCACAGGCCGTGCCTTTGTGTGAAGAAGCTGAAACCACAGCTTTCCCAAGTCGCTGTAGGAGTCTCTTTTCCTTCATTTATTCAGGGGCCCTTCAGATCTTGACAAATCTGTCACTCTAAATTTGCGAGAGATTATGGTGCTCTCTCCCTAGCACGGAGAGAGGTGATATATGATATCTGCTGCCCCTATTGATTGCCTGATCTGGTGGCAGAGGGCTGGCGAAATGAACTTGAAATGAACATCATGCCTCAACTCATTGTGCGTATAATACACTACTTAATCCCACATTTTTCAGCCGCTATGGAATTCAATTGATCAATCATGTCCCTCTGATAGTACTGTTTTAGGGGTTATTGCTGCTCTGCTCACTGACCTTTTTATTTATTTATTTATTTGTGTCAGCACGTGAGTGCATGTGCGTGTGCACGCACGTAAGTGCATATGTGTAGTTGGGAAACTCGGGACCAGCTGACAAGGAAGGACCTGTATAGTCAGTGGGAAATGAAAGAAAAGGATGAAGGGAGGAGAAAGGGAAGGAACAGGCCTAGATAAGAAATCAGAATGATCAAAGCAATCAAATAGATGGGGAGAGGCGGAAAAGTGATAAAGAGAAAGGCAATGCTTTAGTTCAGGTGGGAGTTCTGGATATAGGGGGTGGGGGGTACTCTGCCATAAATCTATAAAAGAAAAGAAACTTTTGACAGAGGCCTGTAGGCTACTCGAGGTGGACCTTGTCTAAACAGCTTGTAGTAGTATTGGACTTAATAATTATAGGGCACACAAATCCCAAACTTCACAGAGCTCTTGCTTATGAGCTGTGCATATGGATTTTACTTATAAAGCAGAGAAAGTTCCACAGAGATGATCCTGAAAGACAGATTTATATGTCTTGTGTCACTAACACTGAGGCCTTCACAGTCACGGATCATTATATTGTCTTCAAAACTAAAGGATTGTAAATCCTCTGTGTTTGCTTTCTGGTGTCAAAACCTATAGAGGATGTGTTTTCATTTTTTCCCTGAAACTGCAAGGGGCAGACATTCATCTCTGGTTTTAGATCAAAGTTGCAATTCTCATCTAAGCATATGACTCTGTGAGCTGGACTATCAGGAGAAGCCTCAAATACTGTAATACACAAAGTTTGGGAGCAGACAATTGCGTGGGTATGAGCAAACATGGCAGTGAGGAGCAGAGAGGACTTTGGGGAAGAGATGGGGTCATCAAAGGGCTGTGGGTAAAAGTGAAAAGAGGGCTCATGGGGAAAATTTGAGTCAGGAAAGACTAGCAGATCCCCTGAGGAATGGCACTGTGGTGGGCAACAGTCACTTCAACTGGTGAAGAACAGTGCGAGGAGTAAAAGCTTAAGGGATATGAGGATTTGCCAAGAAAGCAGCTTTTGTAAGAGGTGCCGTGATGAAGCAAGGCTTCAGCTGCAGGATGAGTCTGGCGATCCCACCGAGGTCACTGTGCTCACTGTACTGTTAGAAGCACCATCACCTCTCCCAGTTCCCTTTTTACTGGCAAGGGAAACTGTGGTACTGTGACACAGGGACATCTCTCTCTTAAATCAAAAGAATCTTAACAAACACCTTGAGAGGTGAACCATGGCGTCGGTCACTGTGTCCCTCACAAAAGCACACAGCTGCTGTCAGTGTGCTCAGGACTGGCCTTGCACCTGTGACAGGAAACATCCCTCCTCCCGAGGGGCTGCCGAGGGAGCGCGCAGCGCCGATGTTCAGCCTAAACCTTCGACACGAGACACAGAAGTGCTCCACGAGTGTCACAGAAATATCCTGACAGATAACAAGGAAACGCTGTGCCAGAGGATGCAGGAACAACCTTAACTACATCTGACACAGGAAGCACGCCCATTAAATAGCTCCACAACAAAGGGCCGTTCCCAGGTGGGGAAGCCACAGAGACACCGTCATGTACGAGTAGCACAAAGCACCGTAATACAGTTACTTCCTTGGCTGCAGGTGACAGAGAGCACCCTTGCTCAGGGTGGGACGGGGCCATCTCAACAAGTAATTCAGAAGTATTGCTGTCACAGAAGGACCTTTGCGGTACAGAAACATGTAGGAGGGTGATGAGAAGCTGTGCAGCTGGCACACAAACATGGAGATACTGTCCTCTTTTGGGGCAGGGGCCATTGCTGCTCCCGTGACGTGTCGGCCTGCTGCCTCGTGGGGCCCCGATCTCAGCCGGG